ATCCCTAACTCAATATGTATGGCTCAAGATAGCCGATGCATGTCGCTGCTTTGCTACATGGCATATTACATGTTTTTAGTAGCTCTAGTTGAACTTACATTTCCATAGTATAAAGTTAGATTTGTTTTTAGGTTAAAATTTAGAATGTTGATTAAGTGAACATTGAAGTAATTGTTCATTTCGTGATTAAATGGGCCACCACCTTGTCTATCGGCGTTGGTTGTAATGTCATCACAACAAGAACAATGACTTGGAGGTGGTTGAGGTCGTGGTGGTGCATGGAATTGGGCCTGCGAAGTGAAGGAAGTTGTCGGAGGCGAGTTCGTGGAAGGAGGCAGGATCCCACCAATCGCGGTGACGCGACCAGGCTTTGTCTAGGTCCACTCATCTATGCCCCCTAAATGACTATATTTTCTCCCCGCGAGCTATGTTTTACTCGACGCTAGACATGTTGCCTATGTCTGCGCATGGCCCAAGTAACCAGAAAAGTTCGTTTTTCCACTAGAGAACTAAACCTTATGACATCCATCCATTTGTGAGTAAGCCCCCAACGAATTGGGTAGTAACCAACGGATAGAAACCACTGGAAAACATGATCTGACGGCCCAGAATGGTAAAGGCGTGAGAAGGCTTAAAAATGGCCCAGTTTTACTGTCCTAAGTTGGCCTTGGCTGATTAAAGAGATTGGTAGATAGATCATTGCAGTTAAATTTCCCGCACATATCCTAGTGGAGGAACTTCAAGGCTATGCTAAGTTTTGTATGGTCAAAGAGGGGGTTGTTGTCAATGTAACTGAGTGGAATGGGAGATTGGAAGCTTTCTAATAAGTTGCATGAGTAAAATTGCACCCCTAATAGTGCGAATGGAATATCTTAGATCAGACCGCATCCTGCTTTGGCATGCTTTTGTATGTGGACTGGCATGGTATGTTTCAAATTTTCTATGAGATTGTGAGAGTTAAAGTGTTATGCAGAGATGCTTCCAAGATACCACATGAAAGAATGTTTGGCATGGATGAATGAAGACATGAGAGATCCAATACTTCTACTAATCAATCTAGAAAGAGTGTTGGTGGAGGTAGATAACTGGATGGATGCCTTAAAGGAGGTTGAAATCCAAAAAAAGATGATGATAAGGGTGGACATGAATGGGCTGTACAACTACTAGTTTTAACAACTATAAGTTGCTGGAGTTGTATATTTTGCAAGGAAGTTTGTATAGCAAAGTGGTACAAGTCCGGACTAGTGCCGCAAGAGGAGAGCATGAAAGAAAATTTGACACACTATGTAACCCCTCTCACATTAAGTGTTAATGAGGAGTGCATGCAAACAAAACATGAAATCAGTCTGGCAGAAGATGAACAACATATGATGGTTGGAATAGAAATCAAGAAAAAAGTGTTAATGAAGAACAAGTGAAAGAAAATGTGGAAAGTCAGACTATGATGGACATAATGACTTCATATTTCCTTGCAGATGTGTCACATAATATGATCATGTTTTCTGATGAGAGCCCACCGTTGTACATTTCCTAGCTAAATTGCGAGCCTCTGTGTTTGAATAACGTTTCTCATGGATGATGACCATCTTGTGGCAATGGGTCCCTGTTGAGGGTCAAATATTGTAGATGTCGACTGCGAGTCTATGTGTTACAAAAAGAGTATTGGATAATGACCATCTTGTGTTGAAGTGATCGCTTTGATTTGTTATTATCTTGCAAGCATCGATAGTTAAAGGCGTCTTATATTTGGTGTTTCATACAAACTTGACCGCGTTTGACCCAATAGTGTTGTATCGAGGCCCATTTGTGGATCCTATTCCGCACGCACAAACTTGAGCAACGCACCCCATGTCACCAGTTGGCTCGGCCAGTGCCAGGCGAGGCGAGGCGCATTTTTTCCCCACTTTTTCCTTTCTTTCCGCATAGTTTGGCAGGGCCACACACGGGTTATGAATCAAGGTTTTGATTTTTGTCCTTTCTGGTTTTGTTCAGTTTTTTCTTTTTCTCAAGTTTTTCCTTTATATTTTTATTTCTATAATAGTGGATATTTTTTCTTGACATGTTTTACGTTTTTCACCATATTTTTATAATTTCATGATTTTAAAAATCCATGAACGTTCAGGGGAATTTTATTAACTTTTATGAATACTCAAAATTTATGAACATTTTATAAGTGTGCATATTGGTAAACTTATGAACATTTTCCAACAATTACAAACATTGTTTTATATTTCCATAATTTAGAAATTGAAAAAAAAAATTCTAATTTCTGAATTAACTAAAATTTATAAATATTATTAGAAAAATTCATCATTTTTAGTTTCTATTACATTTTTAAAAATTCCTAACATTCGTTGAATATTTTATGAAATAAAAATATTTCTCCCAAATAATTAAAATTGGTTCAAAACCGAGCATGGTTCCGCCTGGACGCTTCCTAGCTTCCTAGAAAAAAAAAACTGGCGGAAACCAGTTGGCGGGCCAGTTGAAAGGAGCCCGGTAACAGTCGCTACAGCGCCGAGACTAACGTACCTGTCACGACTACAGAATCTCCTCCGATTCCGAGTCCACAACGCGCCAGCAGCAGCGGCGGCGGCGAGAAAGCAACCAGAGCGTTCGCCATTGTTCCGCTCCCCCTCTCTCCCTCCGCCGATGGCTTCGCCGTCGCTCCTGACCGTGCACCTGCGCGGGTCTGCTTCGCCGCCCGACGCCGCCTCGTCGGTGGCGATCGAGGTGGAGGGAGGCGACGGGGTGGACCTCGCCCAGGTGGGCCTCGCGCTGGGGCTGGACCCGGCCACTGTCGGCCTCAACGGCTACTTCCTAAGCTGCGGCTCCGGCTACGTTTCCTTGGCGGTCACCTGGGGCGAGCTCCTCGCCTTCTTCGCCACGGGCCGGCAGCCCACGGGTGCCGACCCCGACGCGCCCGTCGCCGTTGACGGAGGGCCCGTACCTTCTCCGCCAGGTGCGCCTCCCTTTCCGGGAAGATTCCATGTTTGCATCGTGACATTTAGCGTGCCACTAGATGTCAGTAGCAACCTGTTGACTGCTGTTCTCTGATTCTCTGAATTTTTTGCTCCTTTAAACTAGTAGCACAAAAAAGTGTTCAGGGTCCAATTGTTCAGTTTCATATGTTAGGACAAAGTATATGTAGTAGTACTAACATATTTGAGCAAGTTGGATACTGGGCGTCGGGATATATATTGAACTGTCCTGGTAGCGATCGACTCAACTGTGCTGGCCTGTTCATAGATTTGCAGCATTTTCATGTAGTTTTTGCGAAGCAATTATCTCACATCAAGTGTTATTTCGTGATCATACAGTTCAGTACGTTATCTGTTTAGTGTTACAAGAATGCGTTTATGTCTACTGCACTTGAAGAAGTTAAACAAAATGTGATATTTCGACGAAATTTTGATCTGAATCTGCAAATAATATCTCTGCTAGAGCCCAGAGTTGTTCTATCCTCAAAGCGAAAGCCTGGGATGGAGACCGAAAATTGTTCCAAGAAGAGCAGGCTCCAACACAACAGCTCAGCTCAGTCAAAAGCAGACGAAGAACTACTTACCGATGAGATCACCCTTGGTTTGAAGAGAAGACTCACATTGGACGAGGCTAGTCCATCTAAGAAGATTAAACAAGTAGACTACAGCTCAGGCTCCGGTGAGTGACAACTGACAACTGAACAAATCTCTCAAGAGTCTTCACCAGTTAGGCAGTTACTGTATTTGTATCACCAATAATCTAGCAAATATTCTGAAATCTGAAAGGTTCTTGTTTGGTTTATTGCATTGGTTGGTTAATCAATGGAGTAGAAGCACAGCAGCCAGTTACATACTCTTGCAGCTTCGCCAGCAGTCACGACAAGTGGCCAACGGATGAGGAGATGGTCATCTCAATGTCGCGCAAGGGAGTCTGGTGATGCCAGTCTATTCTTGCAGATTGATATTTTAGTGTTACTCGAAAGAACTCGTGGACGTATATGGTGATGAAGTAACATGTCAAAGAGGCGCAGCGATGTTCGTGACTGAGATTTGATTATCGCCTTGTCGCAAGTCATTGTTACTCGAAACAACTCCCGAGTTATGACGATAAACTGGCATCGCTAAGGGGCCTAGTGAGATTTAGTGATTCCCCATTACCATCATGTAGTTAGTTTGGCCCGGAGTCATAGTTTCTGGTTTGCAGACACATTGCTAGTTACCATAGTTTCAGGTTTGGATACAGTGCTAGTTAGAACAGTTGTACAGTGCAGCATTTCTTGTGTACATCGTAGTATTCGATATAATGCCAAAAAACTTGCCGATGTCTTTCTGTGAACATAATAATGGCTGGCCTAACATGGGTACATTTTGCCTGCAAAACGCTAGCGCTACTAGCACCGTCAAATCTGTAATCAGTGCATTTTTTGCAAGACACTAACATCTACAGTATTATTTTTGGTTTTACCAAAAAGGAAATATACTTTTTAATCACTCTTGGGTTTCTACGATTTTTTTCGAGGAATAGCAACTGCTGTTTGGTTTGATTGCATCATATGCACAACTATTTAGTATTTCACAATGCATATGCATGCTGGAGATTCAAAAAGAGAGAGAAGAAGCATTCAGTATTTCACCACACAGAGATGGGTTACTTGATATGATTAATACCCATGTAAATCCCTGAAGAATTATACTTTTTTGGGATAATATTTATAAATTTTGGGGTACATGACTGTATACACAAATGAGAGCAAAAGAGATATGCATACCACCAACAAAAGTTAGGTCTAAGGTCTTCTATTTCGCAACCGGTTTCTCCACACATTTGGCAGCACTCCAGGTTCGGCTCCATTGCAAAAGAATGAATTTATGACATCATAAAATTTGATTTCAATGGATGACACTTTAAAGGGATGAACTGAATACACTGTAAATGTATTTAGACTTCTTTGAGGGAAAATGTATGTAGACTTGAACATATATGATGAGCACACTGTGACATGGATACTGATACATTTGGTGGGGGTGTGTTTATTTTGTCGATCTAGCTGGGCTTACGCTGTATCCACACATAGATGAGTTACCTTATTACATGGACATCATGGATATGTACTCAAGTGTACATGGCAGCACCGTATCCATCTTGGTTGATTACAACATAGCCTAAAGGGGTACCGGATTGAGAAAGAGTGTGGTGACGAGGTCCTTTAGGTCGCTACCAAAGGTGTAGGCATCCCTTCCTTTGAGATAAATGATCTCGTTTGTCCTTGCCATGTTCACCACCACCTGTGCTGCCGGCAACAGTGCACGGTCTATCTCCATGGTCACCTGGTTCAATATTCTCCACCTATTCTCTAGGAGTGCGGCGACAGCCGCCATAGCTTCATCACCTGTTGAGTCGTTCTCTATCATGTAGCACTCCACGGCGCTAGGCATATCCTTCTTGTGCTTTCCCAACTGCATATATGTCCGTAAAAGGGGTACATTTGATGAATATACACATATGCTCATGCACCATGCAATGAATGTACAGCATATCACATTCTAATATGCAAACTTGTGTTTATTTTGTTTGCCAACATATATACCTTGTAAATTTAAAAAAAACATATATACCTTGTAAGAAGACATGTCGTTGAGGAAGCGAGTGACCTGTGAACCAGCGCGGACCATTCCAGGAACTCTGTCTACCCATTCAAATACCTCTTGGCTTGCCACATCACCATATCCCATTAGTGTCACGAGAGTAAGCATCGGTAGACCCGAGGTCATAATAGATATCTCCTCATGTTCCTTGAAGCTCGGCCGATATTTCTTGCTAGACAAGACAGCCTCACGTAGGTAATATTCTGATGACAGCTTGTACTGTGTCATAATTTGAAACATGTGACATATGAATTAGTATCTCTGATAAATATTAGGAAGAGAGATAAAATAATTAATTGTACATACACATGCTCATACACTTTTAGTTGAATCTGTATCTCAATATAGGGCACCATACCGCTTTTTTAATGTAGGCCATGCGATACTTGTGGTTTGGTTCCAATGCATCCTCAAACTCTTTGAAATTGCCGAGAGTTTTGATGTACAACATGTGAAGATATTCCGGTAGAATAGAAACCTCATTTTCATCCCATCTACGAATAGACAGTACAATGATACCCATTAGAGATCATTTATACAAGGTCCAGAGATGAAGTGAGAGTGAGAGATAGATCTAATAACTCATGAATCAGCTAACTAGTAGTCTACCTTTGCATTGCTTCATTGAGCTTGTGACACTCCTCTAATGTGGCATGGACATCAAAAGTATCATCTAGAAGCGACACCATTCCAAACACCTTGGCGAATAGGATCCGTGCACGAGAGTACTCCTCCTCATGGAGCATTCCACATGTCCAAAAGTAGATCTCCACCATACGGTCACGAGCATATGGTAGCTTCACGGTCTCATATAGGTCCCTCCACCATCTGCATGTGAAAATAGTTATTTTAACATAACAATCTTATAAATACCGATGACGTTTCTACTTCTTTAGGCGGGTTACCCTATCTATGCCCTATGTACATGTCCTACTTCTACTTGAGTAGATTTTGTTTTAACTCTTATCTGGTATATTGTCTAGCTAGTTGGCCAAGATGATGATGTGGCGAAAGGAGTATTTCGTTGAATATATGATATTTAGTTTAAAATTAAAATCATAGCAAGAGTTATTGATTCTCGCACGCGCGCGCCCGCCTACGTGCGTGCGTGCGTGCGTGTGTGTATTCAATTGTCTCGAGAGTCCTTTCCCTTTTCAATGCCAATAAGCTAACAAAAATAGTATCATGTGTTTCCAATGCTATTTTATTTAATTTTGCAAAAAATCTAAAATTATATATTATATCTTGCACATGAAAGACAACCACAACAGGTTACTCCAAAACCAATGTCAAAATCATTCATACTCTTGAGGATTAATGTCCGACTAAGCATCAAATAACAGTTTGCATAATTTCCAAAGACAATTTCAGCTTAAGAAAGACGGTGGTAAAGATCCTAAATGACAATACTGGAAGGTAGGAGACAATATGGCACACTACAAATGGCCTGTGTCCAAAAAAGCCATCTAGCTAGCATACGAAAAGACATACGACACAATATCTACAACATAATAAACTCATATGCACGTGTTGGTTTTATTATAGTGAAGAACTAGGGTAAACATCAATGAGAAAAGTTTAATTTTATGAGAAGAAGACTTACAATGAGAGGTCCTTGAGCTCCTTGAGGTGAAGGATCCTAATGAGGTTAAAGTTCAGCCTCGAAAGCTCTAGCAACATGCCATCGTACACCCCTTCCTGCTCATACTCATCAATGTAGTGCATGGTTTCAATCCTTCTTGTGAACCGTGGGAGGGGGATGTCTAGGGCACGGGAGATCTGCTCTGCAATTGGTGATCCGACGTTGCCTTTGATAGCCTCCAGGTGGCCCCTTGCAAAGGAGATGGCATCATCAAGAGCGACCTCACCTGGTGTTGCCATGTGAGCTGCATTGTACAAGCTCAAAAGGCCCCTCGGGTCACCGCCAACGCTTTCGCTGAAACTACCTTGGTCCTCTCTGAATTTATCGAATACATCTACATGCACATTGATTCAAACATATCTTATCAACAGACGTGACATGCATGTTTTGAGATGCTAAAATAACACAGCTTGATTCAAAATGGTTACTGATTAGTGACACTATGCACTTAATTACCCTCAGATGCCCAAAGTCCATGTTGCCGAAGTAGGCGAAACTTAAGTGCGGTGATGTGTAGGCTATTGGAGCCGTCAGTCTCCACCTGCTCTACATGGACAAGGCTTAGTGCCTCTTCAATCTCTTCACGGAAGTGATTGTCTATGCCTAGTCGTTCAAGTGTGTCCACATATGTTAGTGCATCGGCTCCAGTCATGGCGTCCTTGCTCCCCTTGAACGCCTGACGTACTTGCCCTTTGAGTTGCTCCGCCCTCTCCCTCATCCAATCCTCCGACCTCTGCTAGAAAGAACTCAATTAATCCTTGGATGTCAATCGTGCAGGTAGGATAAAATCATTAACTTGGTTTATCCCACAAAAAGGAACTTCCTTGGTGAAGTTTCATGTAGCCTATTTTACTCATAAGATGTGTGTTGTCATTTGCGTGGTATTTGGTTCCAACGACCGTAATGAACTTATATCATGTACATAAAAAAGTTGATGAAATTCAATGTAGATCATGGATGGTCCACGAAGAGTGACCTAATTAATCAACATGTAGCAGCTTCAAATCCTTGATTCTATAGAGTACTTGAAAGTTCTACCCCAAAATCAAAATTAAATCTTGAAAGATAATGCATATAGTTAACGTCGGCGCGCATGTTAGTGTAAGCATGCATGCATGCATACCTGTGAGATAGGAGGGACGTAGGTGACAAAGAAGTCACCCCACACAGAGGGAGCAAACTTCTCGCTAGTATCAACGCCACCGGCGGCCACCTGCACAGTGTTGCTGCCATCGGCCTTGGTCACGATCTCGTGGCAGTTCACGACAGAAGCAGCCTGGATCGAGGGCGCCATTCAAAGCTTGATGTAGTTACAATAATGTATTTGCTTCCTCAGCTGGTTGCAAATACTTGTAACAACTAATGCTGTACGTAGTGAGGTACTACAAGCAGTTCTTGCTCTAGGTGATATATCTGAGGCTGCATGGGTCTCTATTTATAGACCTATAGCGAACATGGCTATAGTTGTATCAACTGGTTGCATTGCAGTACTTCAAATGAGCCTATAATTAAGCGGGCCCAAACTCTCTACATCGTACCAAATCATTGCATCTGTTTAAATATTTGGCATTAGGTATGGCTCATGCAAAACGTTGCATTGCAGTACTTCAAATGAGCCTATAATTAAGCGGGCCCGAGACTCTCTACATCGTACCAAACCATTGCAACCATTTAAATATTTGGCGTTAGGTATGGCTCATGCAAAACGTTGCATTGCAGTACTTCAAATGAGCCTATAATTAAGCGGGCCCGAGACTCTCTACATCGTATCAAACCATTGCAGCCATTTAAATATTTGGCGTTAGGTATGGCTCATACAAAACGCTGCATTGCAGTACTTCAAATGAGCCTATAATTAAGCGGGCCCGAGACTCTCTACATCGTACCAAACCATTGCAGCCGTTTAAGTATTTGGTGTTAGGTATGGCTCATGCAAAACGCGTGTAACATAACTAACTGGATTATTCCCTGTACTCGTGTAGGACGTGCATGTAGCCACGTAGCCTGTACCGGAGGCTTGGCGATTGAGCAGAAGGCAGCAGATCAGTAAAGAAGCAGCCGATGCAGATATGCTATACAAAAAAATAGTGCTATAGAAAGGCTGTCACAGATGGCTCGCTTACTATGCATCGTTTTCCCTATACAGTCGCCGACAGATCCTGTACGTACGTGTCCCCCATTAACATAGACGGGTGCTATTGCAATGCTATCGTAGACTGTTTTTTCTGTTTCTGCAAGCTTTTTTCAGTCAGTAGTTTCGCCATTGGGTTCTCTCTCAAGCAAGCCACATTGACTAAAGGAAGGCAGGCTAGATTGCTAGCAGACTAGCACAAAAATAGAATGAATTCTACAGAGCGTGGTTCTAATTAAGGCATACTTTTGTTTTGCTAGAGATTCTTAGACATAATTTAAGGTTTTGCCTAACAAAAGAGATCATAATCCTAGCAGTTTTATGTATATTTACTAGTTGCGGGCATCTTTTGAGCTTCCATGTTAATCCTAGTTGTTAGAAAATTGTCTCGGATTGACTAATCATCCACTAAAATTGTGTCAATTCAAGCTTTTAGTGTATAGATTGTCTGTTAGTTTCTCTCTCAAGCAAGCCGCCGTGACGAACGCGAGGCTGGGTAGATTGCTATAAAAACATAGAATTAATTCTTTGATGCTAACATTCATGGATCTTAGACATACTTTAAGGTGTTGCCTGGTGGAAAAGATCATAGCAATTTTACGTACATCCTCCGTCTCAAAATGTAAGATGTTTTTGACACTATATTATTTACTAATTTGAGGCATCTTTTCATCCTCCATGTTAATCCTAGTTGTCAGAAAGTTGTGTCGGATCAACTAATCATCCATCATACCGTCAAATGAAGTGGCATACCCTGCTCCCGCCCTCTGCCACTGGGGGTATACTCCTCTCCTTCCTTCAACGTCGCTTCCCGCCTGATCTGCCAAGGACGAGTTTGTCTCATAAGCCATACTGCCTCCATGACAATATTGCACCAACATGTCTCAAACAAATTAAATATTTGCAACACTAAGTATTTTTGTATGAGGAATTTGTTTATATATGTAGGTGTAGGGGCATGCTAGAAAGTAGTTGAGTAACTCAATGACTAAATTAACGGTAAGCCACTGAAGCAGTGGTACCACAAAAGATACTCACTTGCTTTTGCTACCAAGACACCTAATCCCTCCTGCCTTTGGAAAACAGTTAATCAACACCTACCACCCTCCTTTAAAAAAAATACATGCCGCCCTCCAAATTTTATCTTTTATGGTTACTGAAGGCCGCCTTATTTTGGTCTGGCTCCTAGCTTCAAAACAAACCTCTTGTCTATGCCTTCCCCTGCCTTTTTGCACACTCGCTTTGCGCTACTGTTATGGTCTAATAAATCTTGCATGATGGGTGGCTATCTAACCTTAACCTTAGGAATCACCTTACCACTGGTGCCTCTAGGGAGTTGGATCATGTATATTCCTTGTTGCAGGACTTCATTTTCTGTGATGCAAACGACGAGAGGTTCCTCATC